CTGCGAGATCATGACCTGAGCCGAAGTCGGACGCTTAACCGACTGAGGCACCCAGGCGCCCCTATTTTTAACTTTTTGAGGAACCTTCTTACTCTTTTCCACAGTAGCTGTACCAGTTTGCATTCCCATCAACAGTGCACAAGGGTTCCTTTTCTCCACATCCTTGCCAACGCTTGCTGTTTCTTATGTTTTGTTTTGTTTTGTTTTGTTTTGTTTTGTTTTGTTTTGTTTTGTTTTAGAGACAGAGGGAGAGAGAGAATCCCAAGCAACCTTGACACTCAGGGTAGAGCCCGACATAGGACTTGATTCATGACCCTGGGATGATGACTTGAGCGAAAACCTAGAGACAGATGCTCAACTGACTGAGCCACCCAGGTGCCCCTTGTGTTTTGGGAGTTTTGTTTGTTTTTAATGCTTATTTATTTATTTTGAGAGAGGGAGAGAGAGAATCCCAAGCAGGCTCCACAGTGTCAGCACAGAGCCCATCTTTGGGCTTGAACCCACGAATTGTGAGGTCATGACCTGAGCCAAAATCAAGAATCAGACACTTAACTGACTGAGCCACCCAGGCACCCTTGTGTTTAAAAAAAAAATTTTTTTTTTTTAATCTTTATTTCTTTAAAAAAAATTTTTTTTTCAACGTTTATTTATTTTTGGGACAGAGAGACAGAGCATGAACGGGGGAGGGGCAGAGAGAGAGGGAGACACAGAATCGGAAACAGGCTCCAGGCTCTGAGCCATCAGCCCAGAGCCTGACGCGGGGCTCGAACTCCCGGACCGCGAGATCGTGACCTGGCTAAAGTCGGACGCTTAGCCGACTGCGCCACCCAGGCGCCCCATCTTTATTTCTTTTTGAGAGAGAGAGAGAGCAGGGGAGGAACGGAGAGAGAGGGAGACACAGAATCCAAAGCAGGCTCCAGGCTCTGAGCTGTCAGCACAGAGCCCAACAGGCTCTGATCTTTGCTTGAAAACTCAAATATTAAAAATAGATCTAACCTGTGACCCAGCAATAGCACTGTTAGGAATTTACCCAAAGGATACAGGAGTGCTGGTGCATAGGGGCACATGTACCTCAATGTTTATAGCAGCACTTTTCAACAATAGCCAAATTATGGAAAGAGCCTAAATGTCCATCAACTGACGAATGGATAAAGAAGATGTGGTTTATATATACAATGGAATACTACTTGCCAATGAGAAAGAATGAAATCTGGCCATTTGCAGCAATGTGGATGGAACTGGAGAGTGTTATGCTAAGTGAAATAAGTCAGGCAGAGAATGACAGATACCGTATGTTTTCACTCATATGTGGGTCCTGAGAAACTTAACACAAGACCATGGGGGAGGGGAAGGGGAACCGGAACCTTGATACAACCAATGCCAAGAAAGGCTCTTTAGGGTCTTGAATGATTTAAGAATGTAAAAGGGCCTGCTATCAGTCTGAGAACAACTGAGCTATATGATTCCGATGACATCACACATTAACACTAATTTTGGTATTAAACATTCTCTCCTCTCCCAATTTTTGCTACATATGCTCTAGTTCTTCATTAAACATGGATTTTGTGGCAATAATATTGCCGCTACCTTGATAACCTCCCAAAATTAGGAACAGGGAACTGCCTATGTTTAATGCTTATGTGTTCTAGCTACAGATAAGTGTAATTTCCATGCCCATACATCTGTCTGTAAAAACCACTGAAATTAATCAAAAAGCCTCTTTTAGTATTTTTTGATATTTGAAATCTTGCTCCAGTCAAAACCTTTCAACAAAGAAAAAGATACCAACATGTATAAAAATTCAGAATACACAGTAATACATTTTAAAAAAGTATACACAGTGTAATCATGTAACTTAGTCATTAATGATATGGGAAATTTATCCAAAGGGATCTCAATAAAACTGAAAATAGGGAGACAGAAAAAAAGGCCCACATATTCAGCTTTTTTATGCAGATGGGGAAGCAAACTCAACTATTCCACGGATTTTAATTCCTATAAAATGCCTAGTTTTCCACTGCCCATCACAAAGGTGATAAACTCAAATTTTATCATTGACTACATAATACATTTTCATTTTCCTTGAAGTGACAGGCTCACTTCACTCATTTTCAAGAAAATGTATGCCTGTTACCCAAGTCTGCTTAAATGGCTACTTCAACTTGTTATTCGAATAATTGTAAAGTTTTCCTTAAGATAACCATCATATTTCTGTTTGCACACAGAAGTGGTTTGTGTGTACTTCACATTTCTTTATACAAAATATTAAAAAGACATGCTAGAGTGTTGGGATTACTTACTGTTGATCATTTTTATTGCATCAAGGACAGTGTTAGAGAAATAGCCCCCCCTTCCATGAGTATGTGGTAATGAATTACTTTGGTGCCAGTTACCTTGATTTGTGCTAAGGCACTAGCTGTTTTTGTTGTTGTTGTTTAATTTCTTTTTAATATTTTTAATGTTTTTATTTATTTTTGAGAGATAGTGCAGACAGAGAGGAAGACACAGAATTGGAAGGGGCGCCTGGGTGGCTCAGTTGGTTCAGTGCTGGACTTTAGCTTAGGTCATGATCTCACAGTTTGTGGGTTCAAGCCCTGTGTCGAGCTCTGTGCTGGAAGCTCATAGCCTGGGGCCTCCTTTAGATTCTGTGTCTCCCTCTCTCTTTGCCCCTCCCCCTGCTTGTTCTTTCTCTCTCCCTCTCTCTCTCTCTCTCTCTCTGTCTCTCTCAAAAACAAATATTAAAAAAATATATATTAGAATCCTTGGCAGGCTCCAGGCTCTGAGCTGTCAGGACAGAGCCCAGCGCAGGACTCAAACCCATGAACCATGAGATCATGATCTGAGCCAAAGTCAGACACTTAACCGAATGAGCCACCCAGGGACCTGAAGGCACTAGCTGTTTTAACTACCATTGCTTTTGCATTATCAGTGAGAACTAATGATAAACCTTCCCAACCTGAATGAAAACATTTTCTTCCTGAAAATCAGTGGGGGAATGCATACAGTTTCTATGTGGTAATTTCTTTGGGTTATGTATTTTTTTGTGGTAGAGAAATTCAACAGAACCCTTAATTGTTGTACTATATTTGGATTCTTACTGGCAACCAGAAGCTTTGTTGTGTGGAAGAGTCTGATGTAGATGTTTTTCTTGACTTTATAGGGGAAGTTAGAGATTTGACCTTCTAGCCCACAATTTCCAGTCTTTTGGTCTTACGGAACCATTGAAGAGTAGCTGATGGAGTGGTTGCAGGACTCACACTTCTCAATTTCAAAACTTAAGATAAAGCTGGAGTAATCAAAACGACATGATATTGGTACAAGATGGATGCTTAGATAACGGAATAGAATTGAGAATCCAAAAATAAACCCTCACGTTTGTGTCATTTGACTTTTTTTCTAATACATAATTTGATTTTTTTTCCCCTAATACATAATTTGATTTTTTGACTGGGACAGTTCAGTGGGGGAAAGAATAGTCTTTTCAACAATGAGGTAACCATATGCAAAAAAATGAAGTTAGGCCTCTTCCCCACACCATACACAAAAATTAACTCAAAATGAATCCTAGATCTAAATATCAGAGCTAAAACTATAAAACTGCTATAGAAATACAGGTAAATCTTTTATGTCCTTGGATTAGACAAAGCCTTCTTAGATATGACCTCAAAAGCACAAGAAAATAATTTGGACTCCTTCAGAATTAAAAACTATCATATGTGAAAGGACAACATCATTAGGAAAGTCAAAAGAAGCCACTGAATGGAGAAAATTTGTAAGTCATATCTGATAAGAGACATATCTGGAATATAAAAGGAGCTCTTATAACTGAATAATAAAACAGTAATTCAGTTACACAATGGGCAAAGGATGTGAATAGGTGCTTCTCCAAAGAAGGTAGACAAATGGTCCGTAATCACATGAAAAGGTGCTCAGCATCATTAGCTGTCAGAGAAATGCAGATCAAAACTACAGTGAGATACTACTTCACATGCAGTGGACAGTGGCTCTAATAAAAAAAAGCCAATCAATACGTGTTAGTCAAGATATGGAGAATTTGGCATCCTGATAAATTGCTGTTTGAGAATATGAAATGGTGCGGTCACTCTGGAAAACAGTCTGGCTCCTCAAAAAGTTAAACACAGGGGCGCCTGGGTGGCGCAGTCGGTTAAGCGTCCGACTTCAGCCAGGTCACGATCTCACGGTCCGTGAGTTCGAGCCCCGCATCAGGCTCTGGGCTGATGGCTCAGAGCCTGGAGCCTGTTTCCGATTCTGTGTCTCCCTCTCTCTCTGCTCCTCCCCCGTTCATGCTCTGTCTCTCTCTGTCCCAAAAATAAATAAACGTTGGAAAAAAAAAAAAAAGTTAAACACAGAGTTACCATATATATGACCTAGTAATTCTTCACCTAGGTATGTACTCAAGAGAAGTATGTCCACACAAAAACTGACATGAATCTTCATAGCACCATTATTCACAATAGCCAAAATATGGCAATAAGCCAAATGTCCAGCAGTTGATGAATAGATACAGTAGTAGATCCATACAGTGGGTTGTTAGTCACAGAAAGGACAAAATACTGACACATGCTACGACATAGGTGAACCTTGAAAGCATGTTAAGTGAAAGAAGCCAGATGCAGAGGCCACATATGTTATTCCATTTATATTAAATGTCCAGAATAGACAAATCCGTACAGACCAGTTAGGTTAACAGTTGCCTAGACCTAGGTGGAGATGTAGGCCATCTTTTGGGAAAGAGGAAAATGTTCTAAAGTTAGATTGTGATGGTTGCAGAACTCTGAACACACTAAAAGCCATTGAATTGTATGTAAGTTCTCTCTCAATAAAGCTGTTTAACAAAGAGAGTAATGACTGTGAGGCTGCCAAGCAAACTTGGCATTACTATTAGGAAAAAATTCTATACCCTGAGTAAATACTGAACTTTGTATTCCAGTTTTACTAGGATAAAAAGATGACCAAATTACCTACTCTTTACTTTTCAGAAAGGAGAAGATGAATATGCCAACGTTGATGCCATTGTTGTATCAGTGGGTGTTGATGAAGAAATTGTTTATGCCAAATCAACTGCCTTACAGGTGAGAGGTTTATGGCAGTTTTAGGCCTGAGAATCCTCGAATCATCGATTGCACTGTTCAGTGTGGTATTCACTAGCCACATTAAAAATTAAATTCTTCAGTCCCAAGTCTCAAGTACTGAGTACCATATTGGAGCTGGTAGAGAATATTTCCATCATCATTAAAAGCTCAGTGGACCCCCCCCCCCCCACACACAAAACAAGAAAGAAAAAATTTTAAAACATAAACACATCCTTATTTAAAAAGAAAGAAAGAAACAACCATACTTCAACTAAAGAAACATAAAAAAAGGTTTGGTGGACAGCCCCAAAAAAGAAGTATATAAATTGGGATAGATTTAATCGTATATAACAATAAAATCTAACAGTGGATTAAGTAGAATGGTTTTTTCTCTTTTAGTTAGTCTTCAGGGACACAGGGTTTTTCTGGTCTGTCTTCTGCCATACGTAGAGGCCAGCCCTTGGGCTCATGGTGCAGAAATTGCTAGAGCTCCAGCCATTACATCTGCATTCCAAGTAGAAAGAATGGAGAAAGGGAAGAAAATGAAGACATCTTTCCTTTTATGAAGATACTGGAAGTCCCACAGAATACTTCTATTTATAACTTATTGGCCAGAATTTAATGGCCATAAGCTGCAAGAAAGGATAGGAAGTAGTCTTCATGCTGAGTGTGCCCAGCTAACAATCCCAAGTCTTTCTGAGAGGGAAGAAGTGAATAATTGGTAGGCAGCTAGCAGTCTTTGGGGGAGGTAGAATGTGCATTTCCCTGATGTGCTACTTTGTCCCTTGTTTTATGCGTTTCTGTTCTTCTAAATAACCGTATAGTTCATAGAAACACAAATCATCCGTATGATTTGGTGGTCTTTATTATAGAATATTTCAAACATCAAAGTAGATAATAATGTGACACTCTAATGTACCCATTATCCAGTATGTACCCATTATCCAATAAATTGTAAGCTCTTGGCCAGTTTCATTTCATTTGTATCCACATCTAGCTTATTTTGAAGTTAATTCCAGATACCTTATTATATAAATATTTCTGAGTAAGTACATTAATTTTTTTTAATTTGTAAATACTGTTGTTACGTTTGTCTTTTCCTATAGACGTGGCTCTTTGGTTATGAACTGACTGATACTATCATGGTCTTCTGTGATGACAAAATTATCTTTATGGCCAGCAAGAAGAAAGTGGAGTTTTTAAAACAGATTGCTAACACTAAGGGCAATGAGAATGCAAATGGAGCCCCTGCCATCACACTGCTGATACGGGAAAAGGTCAGAACTAGTAAAGAATGTGTCATAAATGTGAAAGAATGTTTAAAAGTAATAAATGGAAATCCCTCTAGGAATTTAAAAATATACAGGAGAAGATTTTTGCTGGCTAACATTGTAATTACAAAGTTTTAGCACATCTTCGTTGTGTTTGTTAGGAAGAAAAAAGTTCAGTAACCCTGTCGGTTCTGTAGCAAAACACACAGGCTGTGAGATTCTGTCAGACATGGACTTTATCTGTCCATTCTCAAGGGTAATGTCAACTTGTTTGTTTTCATCTTAGTACTTCAATTGGCATAAATAACCGGGGGTTTTTTGTTTTAAGTCCTCTCCTAACATGGGGCTGGAGCTCACAAGCCTGAGATCAAGAGTTGCAGGCTCTCCCAGCTGGGCGCCCCTAGAACAAAAATAATTTTAAACATCCGTAAGAAAACAGATATACCTCATACTCAGTGTTTATCATATGTGGTCTTTTTTGTCGTACTTTCCACCTGACACTTTTTCTCAGAATGTTGTTCCCCTATGTGCATGAGTGTTTTAGCTGTTCCTGAAGAAAAAGAATAGTCTTGTCAACTCATGTGGCACTTTAGTTTGTAAAAATATCCAAAGAAATTTTGTGTTAACTTTTAGAGTGTCACATTCTTTCATAAGGGAGTAAGTAGGTGAGGCATGGGGAGAAAATTTATTCTTTCTATGGTTCCAAATATTTGTCTGTGCCTGTTACTAGTAGAACATAGATATCTAATTCTAAAACTAATTAACAAGAGTCTTTTCTTTGTGGCACTGATAGAATGAAAGCAATAAGAGCAGCTTTGACAAAATGATTGAAGCCATTAAAGAAAGCAAGAACGGCAAGAAGATTGGAGTGTTCAGCAAAGACAAGTTCCCTGGAGAGTTCATGAAGAACTGGAACGACTGCCTCAACAAAGAGGGCTTTGACAAAGTGAGAACACTCCCAGAAACATGCAGATTAGGAGTTGCGAAGATAGAAGTGTGACAGCTTTCCATAACAGATAGTGCAAAGAATATGTTTTGGGAAAAGTATATATTCCTGCAGATTTCCATTTTCCATTCTGTTTGGGTGAGCAGTAAGCCATTTTGACTTTCCAGTCAGGAATGGCCCATTTGGAAGATAGTTTAGCTCTTGCAGGGGGAAACAGAAACATTTCTCTCCCTCTCTCTCTCTCTCTCTCTCTCTCTCTCTCTCTCTCTGTTTTTTTTTTTTTGTTGTTGTTGTTGTTAAATATTTATTTTGGGAGAGCATTGAGGCACAAGCAGGGGAGAGGGAGAGAGAATCCCAAGCAGGCTCCTCACTTTCCTTACAGAGCCTCATGCAGGGCTTAAGCTCACAAACCACAAGATCATGACCTGAGCCGCAATCAAGAGTCAGACTCTTAACTGACTGAGCCACCCAGGTGCCCCCAGAAAAATCTCTTATCCAGAAAAAATACATTTTTTTCCCCTCCCTGCTCTCCTGCCTGTCTTCCTCTTCTGCCTTTATAAGATCCTCTAGAGAGGAGCGTTTACATTTACATTTAAATGGTATATTAGTTCAATGCCTTTTAGAATACACACAGTGACCTGGTAATGAGCTATTTTAAATGTTTATTCAATCCAAGAAAAGAGTATTTTTATATTCCGTAAACTACTGATGAATGGTGTGCTAAATAACCAGGTAACTTCACTGATGATACTCACAATGGGAGAGATGCATTTATTTAGCAGTTCTGTATTTACCTGTTAGAAATTCTTATCACTTTGACTGCAGATAGATATCAGTGCGGTTGTGGCTTATACCATTGCTGTAAAGGAGGATGGGGAGCTCAACCTAATGAAGAAAGCAGCTAGCATCACCTCTGAGGTCTTCAACAAATTCTTCAAGGAAAGAGTCATGGAAATAGTTGATGCAGATGAGGTAAATGGAGAGGGGAAAGTCTGTACTATTTTAATGAAGCACAAATAAGTCCCTACCGTGCAGTGTTTTTTGCTGTTTGGCTTCCTTTGCAATTAGGCCTTTGATACAGAAGTTGCTGGTGTGTAATTTTGTCAGTTCTCTTTCAAAATAACTATAAACCTGCGCTAGTTTCCTGATGTTACCCAGTATTTTACTTGAGAATTCCTTGCATAGCTGTGAATTTCACAATATTCTCAAAATCTGCTTTGCAGGTATACCAGTATATTACCTGACACATAAGCCATTTCATAAGGCTTATATAACATCCTCAGTGATGTCAGGATATGTGTTGTCCTCAAATAATGTCCAAAAATTCAACACTTTTAGACTCTTTGCCACCTTCTGGTGAATATTGTTAACTATTTTATTTCTTTATGCTTACAGAAAGTTCGACACAGCAAACTGGCTGAGTCTGTGGAAAAGGCCATTGAAGAGAAAAAATACCTTGCTGGGGCAGACCCTTCTACTGTGGAGATGTGTTACCCTCCTATCATTCAGAGTGGTGGCAACTATAATCTCAAGTTCAGTGTGGTGAGGTAAGTATGAGAACTTCAGATTATAACAATCAGAGCATTTCAGCTTTCGGCCTGTTTTTTTCTTGGACTCATTTTTGGAATTCAGAAAAGTTTAGTCTCTATACCCTACGTGGAGCTCAAACTCACAGCTGAGAGATCAAGACTCAGACACTCCACCAACTGAGCCAGCCAGGCACCCCTGCATGTTTTTATCTTATTTCATGTTGGTACTCCCTTTTACTTGAGCATTTATTTCATTTTGCTTTTCCAGATGATTAAAAATACCAAGAGGGCCACCTGGGTGGCTCAGTCGGTTAAGCGACTTCAGCTCAGGTCATGAGCTCACAGTTCATGTGTTCGAGCCCCACGTTGGGCTCCGTCCTGACAGCTCAGAGCCTGGAGCCTGCTTCAGATTCTGTATCTCCCTCTCACTCTGCTCCCCCACCCCCATCCATGCTCTTTCAAAAATAAATAAATGTTTAAAAAAATTGTTTTAAATATCCAGAAAAATGTAAAACATGTTGAGAAAAACCATTAAGGTATTATGAGATATGCCATAATGTAATTCGCCTTCTGAGTTTTTTCTTTGAATGAAAGGAAAACGTGTTAGTTAGTTAGTTAGTTAGTTAGTTATGAGAGAGCGAGCGAGCGAGCACATGCATGTGTGAGAGCAGGGAAGGGTCAGAGAGAGAGAGTCAGAGAATCCCAAGCAGGCTCCAGGCTCTTAGCTGTCAGCACAGAGCTCAGCGCGAGGCTCGATTCTATGAACTATGAGATCATGACCTGAGCCAAAGTCGGCCCTGATCCAGCTGAGCCACCCAGGTGCCTGTAATTTTTAAAAATATATGAAGAATGCTGTTTTTCCTGGTCAGGCTGAAGGAACTAATTCATAATGCATAGTACAGTTCATAGTGGCTGGTGGAAAAGTGATGGCTTACCCTTGAGCTTTAAAACTATATGAATAGAATTTGGTATATTTTTTTGTCTATTTAGGAAACCACAAGTAAGCTTCTCACTGAATTTTTATCCTGTGAGCTTCAGTCAGTAATTTTACCTCTTTATAAGCTAATCTGTTTTTTAAAAAGAGTGTAGGTCCTTCTTCAGCTATGGGATATAACAGGGAAAGGTGATTATAGATGTTTTATGCCAGTGCTATTAAGGACTTTGCTAGTTTACATAATGAAATGCTTTCTTCTTTTGGTCTCTAGTGACAAGAATCACATGCATTTTGGGGCCATCACTTGTGCCATGGGTATTCGCTTCAAATCTTACTGCTCCAACCTTGTTCGCACTTTGATGGTTGACCCTTCTCAGGAAGTTCAAGAAAATTACAACTTTTTGCTCCAGCTTCAAGAGGAACTGCTAAAGGAATTAAGACATGGTGAGGTGCCTTAGAAAAGATTCGGAAATGAAGTAAACTAAAGTGTCTCTAGTGTTTATGTGCATTTATATCCCTGAGGCGTTTATACTAAAAATAGAATTCGATTTTACTAGCTTTGAATCACCCTAGCATTTCACTCTTCAGTCTTTTAGCATGAGTGGTTGTTGTGGTTTTACATTGGTGTTTGCAGAAAACTTCTGTGGCCAGTTAGGCCTCTGCATCCAAATCTTCATAAAATATCTGGCCTTGTTACTTTTCTTTGGTTCTGAGAACTAGTATCTTTAGCAACAATGTGTATTGTTAATTCTACATTGAATGGATACAAGGAATCTTAGTCTAAGGGCAAAACTAATAGCAACTCTGCTAAGCAAGCAATTGCATACCTCGGAAGGAAACAAAGTGCTTGACACCACATCTCTTTTGTCTTGAGACTCTACACTCCTAGTTGGCGAAATGGGACTTCAAGTTTTCTACTCTATAAGCCCACCCATGTGCCCATAGCTTCTAGATACAATTCCTCCGTGTTACCTCAAGTCGATCTTGAGAAATCCTATTGGAAGTAATAGTCCCAGGTAGTTTGATGAGGATAAGGACCCCTTTGAGTCCACCATATCTAGACTCTTCTGGCTTGAAGACTGTGTTCATACTATAGATCATGAAACGTTAAGGCCAGAGTCCTCCTTTTTTTTTTTTTTTTTTTAATTTTTTTTCAAAAAATTTTTTTAATGTTTATTTTTGAGAGAGACACAGAGTGTGGGTAGGGGAGGGGCAGAGAGAGATGGAAACACAGAATCAGAAGCAGGCTCCAGGCTCTGAGCTGTCAGCACAGAGCCTGACATGGGGCTCGAACTCACGAACCATGAGATCATGACGTGAGCTGCAGTCAGACATTTAATCAACTCGGCCACCCAGGTGCCCCTTTTTTTTTTAATTTTTAAAAAGTTTATTTTTTTAATTTAAATTCAAGTTAACGTACAGCGTAATAACAATTTCAGGAATAGAATTTAGAGATTTATCTCTTACGTGTAACACCCAGTGCTCATCCCAACAGGTGCCCTCCTTAATGCCTATTTAGCCCATTCCCCACCCAGCTCTCCTCCAGCAAACCTCAGTTTATTCTCTGTATTTAAGAGTCTCTTACGGTTTGTCTCCCTCAAGGCCAGTCTTTGTAATAGTAATTCACCCATTCAGTAGTCCTATTTTTCAAAATGTATGATAACTTGAATTATTACGCCATTTATCAACTCACATTACTTCACTGAGACCTGGCATCCCATAGTCCTCCTGCGTCATTGATTCTCAAACAGTGTAACTAAGAGTGACTAGGTGAGTTGTTTATTTAAAAATGCAGAATTCTAAGCCCTACCACTCCTGCAGCTTCATTTCTTAGTTCACACTTTGAGAAACTCTGCTTTAGGGAACTTAATAGGTGAAAAAAATGTTGATGGAAACGTAGTGGTCATAGGGGCACCTGGGTGACTCAGTCGGTTAAGCATCTGACTTTGGCTCGGGTCACGATCTCACAGTTTGTGAGTTCAAGCCCTGCGTCGGGCTCTGTGCTGACAGCTCAGAGCCTGGAGTCTGCTTCGGATTCCATGTCTCCCTCTCTCACTGCCCCTCCCCTGCTTGCTCTTGTGCACTTTCTCTCTCTCTCAAAGATAAAGACATTAAAGAAAAAATTTTTTTTAACTTGTGGTCATTTTTGTTTTTTGGGGTTTTTCTCCACCTAAAAGATATTATAATGTTTCCTTTCTGTCTTGTCATTAGGTGTGAAGATATGTGACGTGTATAATGCTGTCATGGATGTGGTTAAAAAGCAGAAGCCAGAGTTGCTGAACAAAATTACCAAAAATCTAGGGTGAGATGTGATGAAGTTCATTGTCACTCTGAGTTAGTTTTCATGACTGGCCGTGGTCAGGCAAAATATTCTTAGATCAATTCACCCAACATTTATGGACTCTTAAACTTACGGTCCAAACACATAGTGTTATCAGAGAATGTGGGAAAGATTTCATTTCTACTTCCTGGAAGAGGTGGAGATTTTTGCAGACCAATGTAGTAGATGCCAATAGACCCTCTAGGCTTAAATTACTAGTGTTAGGAGTCGTTACTTACTGTATGTCCTCTTTTAGAACACTTCAGCTCACATTTGCAAATGACATACTCTTGAGATATCCTACAATTAATTTTTTTTTCAATTTTTATTTAATCCAGTATTTCTCCAATGTATTTGACCATTCATCACCTAGAAATACTCAACATCTTATAGAACCAAAGACATTTTGGAAGACAAAGGCTCTGGGCAGTTTCCTTAGATGGAAACTAGTCTGGGATATATAGTTTCTTTCTGGAATTTTCTGATGGACAAGAGGAAATACATTGGCCTGTACCAAGTCTTGGCCCAGGTGACTTAATCCTAGTTACCAACAGTCCACAAAAAATCACCTTGCTTGGGGCACCTGAGTGGCTTAGTCAAGCCGATTCTCGATTTCGGCTCAGGTCGTGATCCCAGGGTTGTGGGATCAAGTTCCACATCTGGCTCTGTGCTGAGTGTAGAACCATGTTTTAAGATTCTCTTCTCCCTCTTTCTCTTTCTCCCACCCTCCCCCCTCTTTGCCCCTCCACTTGTGCTCACTTTCTAACTCCTAAATATAAAAAAAAGTTTTTAATTTTTATTAATTGCTGTGCTTAATCCACTTACTATGGTCTTGGTAATATTCCCCTTAACAGTCTACTAAGTTGTTTATAGGAAAACTGGTAGAATATTGAAATTTAAATATGGTGTATAAGCTAAAATAAAGAAGGCTTGGTATAATAAATGTTACACGAGGTACTTAATTAGGAAATCTGTTTCAACATATTATTAGCCCAAAGACTGTCCTCGAATCCTCTTCCTTAACTGACTGATCAGCAGGGCCAATCACTCAACATACTTATCTGCCTTATCCTGAAAATTGAAATAGAATATATTGTACTTGACCCATGTTAAAGATCTTTTAGCCTATTGCTGAAATTTCTCTTCATTTCCTTTTTAGGTTTGGAATGGGAATTGAATTCCGTGAAGGCTCTTTAGTAATTAATAGTAAAAATCAGTACAAACTAAAGAAAGGTGAGTTTTACAGGCGTGCAGTAGGAAAATACTTTTTTGAATAATTTCCTTTAGCTTCATCTTCCCCATTTTCTGTGTAAAATCTACACTTCTCCATTCTCTCACGGTTATAGATTGATTCCTGTTTGCTGTTTTAGGGATGGTTTTCAGCATCAATTTGGGATTCTCAGACCTTACTAACAAGGAAGGGAAGAAACCAGAAGAGAAAACCTATGCTCTGTTCATTGGTGACACAGTGCTTGTGGATGAGGTGTGTATTCTTCTTTGACCTTTGATTGTTCATGAACTAACATTGAAAATACATTTTATATTCTTTGGAGTTTTTTTCTTAAAGGTGTTTGTTAGGGGCACCTGGGTCAGTTAAGCGTCCGATGCTTGATTTTGGCTCAGGTCCTGATCTCACAGTTCGTGGGATTGTGCCCCTCAGTGGTCTCTGTGCTGATAGCACAGAGTCTGCTTGGGGTTGTCTCTGTCTCTGCCCCTCCCCCACACGCTTGGGTGTGTGCTCTCTCAAACTTTTTTTTTTTTAATTTTAAGTGTTAAATGCTAGCTGAAGGGAGAGGTCCATGTGACAGTGACCCAATACAGCTAGGAATAGAGATTGTCATCCAAATACAGAGAATAATTTATTAAAAAATTTTTTTAATGTTTATTTTTGACAGAGACAGCATGAGTGGGGGAGGGGCAGAGAGAGAGGAAGACACAGAATGCAAAGCAGGCTCCAGGCTCTGAGCTGTCAGCACAGAACCTGACGCAGGGCACAAACTCATAGACCGCAAGATCATGACCTGAGCCCAAAGTCAGACACTTAATCGACCGAGCCACCCAGGCACCCTCCTTTTTTGTTGTTGTTGTTTTTTACATTTATTTACTTTTGAGAGACAGAGTGTGAGCAGGGGAGGGGCAGAGAGAGAGGGAGACACAGAATCACAAGCAGGCTCCAGGCTCCGAGCTGTCAGCAGAGAGCCTGACATGGGGCTCAAACCCACAAACTGTGAGATCATGACCTGAGCCGAAGTCGGACGCTTAACCGACTGAGCCACCCAGGTGCGCCACAAATACAGAGAATAATTTAAACCACACAGTTCAACTTGTGACTTGAACCTGGATAATGATAATATTGGGAACTGATTTTTTTTTTAAGTTTTTTTAACAGCTTTATTGAGTTACAGTTTACATACCATGCAGTTCACCTGCTGAAAGTGTTTAATTTAGTGATTTTTAGTATATTCTCAGCAATCAGCACCACAGTCTAATTTTAGAACATTTTTATCACCTCAGAAAGAAACTGTGTACCCTAGCAGTCACTCCTCATTTTCCTCCCAAGGTCCCCAAACCTAGTCAACGACTAAACCACTGGTTCTGGGCAGTTGTGATCTTTTATAATTCTTTTTTTCACTTAGCAGAACTGATCCTTAATGTTCATAATAGCAAATACTTCTGAGTTCTTATTATTAATGCACTTTTATGCATTAATTCACTGAATTATGATACCCTGTGAAGTAGATACTTTATCCTCAGATAAACTGGGCACAGAAGTAGAAGTTGCCACATATCACCACTAGAAAGTGATTGAGGCAAAGGGCGCCTGGGTGGCTCAGTGAGCATCTCTTATTTCGGCTCAAGTCATGATCTCCCAGTTTGTGGGATCGAGCCCCATGTCGGGCTCTGCACTGACAGTACGGAGTCTGCTTGGGATTCTCTCTCCCCCTTTCTCTCTGCCCTTTCCCTACTTGGGTGCACTTGCACTCTCTTTCTCAAACAAAACTTTTTAAAAAAAAAAACAAAACAAGGGAAGGAAGAAAAAAAAAAAAGAGGTTAGAGTGGGAGAGAGCCGAAGCATAAGAGACTCTTAAAAACTGAGAACAAACTGAGGGTTGATGGGGGATGGGAGGGAGAGGAGGGTGGGTGATGGGTATTGAGGAGGGTACCTTTTGGGATGAGCACTGGGTGTTGTATGGAAACCAATTTGACAATAAACTTCATATATTGAACATAAAAAAAAAAATAAAGAAGAAAATAAACATTAAAAAAAACAAAACAAGAAAGTGATTGAGGGAGGTTTCACATCAAGCCTGTATTCATAATCATTATCCCAGTGTTGCCTCCTAAATTATAGTTCCTTTGAGGTTGGGAGGATAAAATCTGTATGCGTTGTCAGAGATTTTAGTATCCACAAGTTTCGAAGCATTGGCCAACTGTATACGAGGCTAGAAAGTGAAAGTGCTTTATTTAAATGCTCTTGTAAATGTCTCTGACTTCTTCCTTTTATTCCAGGATGGCCCAGCTACTGTCCTCACTTCCGTGAAGAAAAAAGTGAAGAATGTGGGGATTTTTCTAAAGGTAGGAAGAAGAAAAGCAAGTGGTGTAGGAAGTTTGGTACCGTGAAAAGGCTAAAGTAATAACTGGCTAAAAAGGTTAAAACTGGAATTGCTGATTTTCATTTTTCCCCCATAGAATGAGGATGAAGAGGAGGAGGAGGAGGAGAAAGATGAGGCCGAGGACCTGTTGGGAAGAGGTTCTCGGGCAGCACTGCTTACTGAAAGAACACGAGTGAGTTTGTTGTTTTAATCCACATTGACTCTCTCTCTGTCCTCTGGCTCCCGTCTGGGGCACGTCTGTAAGACGCAGTTCTGCTGACTTGGGTGTGTCCTCTAGAACGAGATGACCGCAGAAGAGAAGCGGAGAGCGCATCAAAAGGAACTGGCAGCTCAACTCAACGAAGAAGCAAAGAGGCGACTGACTGAACAGAAAGGAGAGCAACAGATTCAAAAGTAAGAGTTTGTGTTGGGCAACGAGGTTGTCTTAGGTTTGTATTTGATTTATAGAAATTCCTCAAAAAATGTTTTTATCCCCACTCCAGAGCTCGCAAATCTAACGTGTCCTATAAAAACCCATCTTTGATGCCTAAGGAACCACATATTCGGGAAATGAAGATCTATATCGACAAGAAGTACGAGACCGTGATAATGCCTGTGTTCGGTATCGCGACACCTTTTCACATTGCCACAATCAAGGTATGAGCATTGAGTCAGGATCCATCCAGATTGGTTGTGAAACTATGAGTTGTGCTTTCCATAGATTGTTTTTCCGATTCCTCTACCCTCTGCTCATTCTCCACCCTTCTCACTTTGCTGACTCCCCCTCTCCTTGTCTCCTGCTATTGTTCTCCTTTTCCATTTTGCACTTGGTTAGAATGTTCAGTGATCTCCTAGTCTAGAAATATAATTTGCATTAAGCATTTGCCTTATTTTGTTTTACTTTTTTTTTATAGGGAGAGAGCATGAGTTGGGGGAGGGTTGGAGAGAGAATGAATCCATAGCAGGCTCCATGCTGAGCGTGGAGCCTGACTTGGGGCTCAATCCCACCACCCTGGAATCATGACCTGAGGCAAAATCAAGAGTCGGACGCTCACCTGACTGAGCCACCCAAGCACCCCCACCCCGCCCCCCGCATTAAACTATTTTTAGCATGTTTTTGGACATGTGGTTCAGGGTACTCTGAGAAGCCAGTGATTCATTTGGAAGCACACATCTTGTCATACAAAAAAAATAAGCTAGGTGAAGGTAAAAAAAATTAGACCTAGGTGAAGGTTTATAGGCTAGGTTTAGCAGTCAGCTCGTAACTCCTAACTTAATTTTAATGTCTCTAAGTACTAACCTTTACTTTGGAAAGAAACTTGTTTATTTTGTTAATGCTTTCCTTTTCTTTGAGCAGAATATAAGCATGTCCGTGGAAGGAGATTATACTTACTTGCGAATCAACTTCTATTGCCCAGGCAGTGCTCTTGGCAGGAATGAGGGCAACATCTTTCCTAACCCAGAAGCCACTTTTGTCAAGGAAATGTGAGTCCCCGGGAAAACAACCATTCCCCATCCCTGCTGGTTGGAGTGGTACTCTCAGGAACATCTCATTGTGCTTTGTACGGTTTTGACGATGGAACCCAGTTTAGAATCCTCATGAATATATGTTAAACTGATGACACATGTTTTTGCAGTAGAATCATAAATAAGGAAATGTGTGCCTCATTGGAGTCTGTTCCTTCATGGTGTGGAATGGGATAATTGGCTATGCCAGATTTGAAAAATAAGTGTGATTTCCCACCCAGTGGATTAGCCATTTATAACATGCTCTATTTAAGAGAGAAGAAAGAGGGATGTTTTTCAGCTTTCCAGACACTGTCTTACCATTTACTGGTATCTTTATCTTCTGAAAGACATTTAAGTCCGTTAAAAATACAGTGAAGAGTGCAGGTTACCTGGCCTGATAAAGATACTTCTGTAAGTTCTGGCTTCTCCTTTTTCACAGCACATACCGAGCTTCAAATATGAAGGCACCTGGAGAACAGACTGTACCAGCCTTGAACCTCCAGAATGCTTTCCGAATTATAAAAGAAGTACAGAAGCGTTACAAGACCCGGGAAGCAGAAGAGAAGGAGAAGGAGGTGAGCCTGGACACCAACAGAGCACCGTTGTGCAAAAGGATACGTGTGGGTTTGGAGGGGACACACAGTTACATGAGGATTCACAGTAATTCTCGTTCTACTTAGGGCATTGTGAAACAAGACTCCCTAGTGATCAATCTAAACCGGAGCAATCCCAAACTGAAAGATCTATACATTCGCCCAAACATTGCCCAGAAGAGGATGCAGGGTTCCCTGGAGGCCCACGTCAATGGTATGAATGATCTCTCGTGTGTCTGAGTTTTGTCTCTGGGGCACATTTGTAGGAATGACAGACGGATAATCCGTATGTGAGGGAGCTGCTGGAAAGAATCTATGTGTATTGCTGTACAGGCACAAGGAAGGGAAAGAAGCTCTGTGTGGTTTGCGGCATTTTCTGTGACTCGGTTCCAATCAGCCAGAAAAGACGCAATGTCTTCTGGCCTCACCTCATGCTGCTTGATGCTTAGCTGCTTCCTTTGTTTTCCCCCAGGTTTCCGCTTCACATCTGTTCGAGGAGACAAAGTGGATATTCTGTATAATAACATCAAGCATGCTTTGTTTCAGCCATGTGATGGAGAAATGATTATTGTCTTGCACTTTCACCTCAAGGTACGCTTTTTGATTTACAAGCTGTCAGATCGTGGGCAAAATCTTTCTGTTACTCTTTTTCTTTTAAAATAGTGACGAATAGGGACACCTGGGTGGCTCAGTTGATTAAGCGTCCAACTCTTGATTTCGGATCAGATCATGATCTCACGGTTAGCCTGCTCGGGATGCGCTCTCTCCCTGTCTGTCCCTCTCCCTGTTGTGCACGTGCACACACTCTCTCTTAAAATATATAAACTTTAAATTAATAAATAAATGATGAATGATATCACCTATCACAAAAGGTAAAGGGGGTTGAATAAGATAATGTTTATAAAGTCCACAGTGTCTAAAATCTAGAAGGTGCTAATAAGCATGTATGTTCCTTTGGTGTGCTATATAATAACCACCAAAACCTAAGGTTTTCTCTAGATTCCTGTCTCTGAAATAGAAAAATGTTTCTTTAGACAGTTTATTTTCGGCAAAATCTCCCAAGTTCATTCTAATAAATAGGAATACTTTAAAAAATGTGTACGCTCTCACATTCCCAAATGTCATGACGACACCAGGGACAGTTTGACTATTTTTACATAGATGCTGTGGTTTCCAGGGTAGATACTATTTATACTTCACGTTGTTTTGTTGTGGTCTTGCCTCTTTGTTGTGTAGCCTGAGTTTTCTGACTGCTTTCTCGTTTTTTCCACTCCGTGCCCCCAGAATGCCATCATGTTCGGGAAGAAGCGGCACACGGATGTGCAATTCTACACAGAAGTGGGAGAGATCACCACGGACTTGGGGAAACATCAGCATATGCACGACCGAGATGACCTCTATGCTGAGCAGGTCTGTGAGATTGAGGATTTTATTTGCAGGGTATTGAGGTAGCTTGTGGTTCAGATCTGAGTTCAGTAGTTATATTTTGTAAATAACCCCCGCATCTTTCTGCAGAACAACTCAAGTATGCGTGGGGATGGCATAGTGCAGTGGCTTATGGGGCAGACTTGAGTTGCAGACTCAGCTCTGCAGTTAATGGTGTCGTGGGCTGGGTTAAACTCTTCGTACTGGCATCACAGGAATGAGAATTAAGGACCACAAAAGTACTTCAGGCTTTTTGAATGGATGTACAAGTGAAGTGATAACTGTAGCTAATTAGTTTTTTTTTCCTTCTACAGATGGAACGAGAAATGAGGCATAAACTGAAAACAGCGTTTAAAAATTTCATTGAGAAAGTAGAGGCTCTGACTAAGGAGGAACTGGAATTCGAAGTGCCTTTTAGGGACTTGGGGTAACATATCTCTTCTTTTTGACCTGAAGTGTCATCTGCCTATTAGAAAAATTGGTCATTCTTCCTTTGTGATAATTTAACATCACAGATCGCGTCCTTTTTCCTTTGATTGAAAAACCTTTGAGACATCCATTCCCTCTTGAACATTTTTAGGCTGGGGTGAGTGGCTCAGACTGAGAGGCTTCCCCTGTAAATGACTCCAGTGAGTATGCTGGAGCTGGGTTTGGAACGGGGAAAGGCAAGAAGTGTATTTTGGCAGCACGTTTCTCTTGAGTGAGCCTTTCTCTTACTCTCTTTCAGATTTAATGGAGCTCCTTACAGGAGTACCTGCCTCCTTCAGCCCACTAGTAGTGCGCTTGTAAACGCTACAGAGTGGGTGAGTATTTCTTCCCTTTTAGTAAGAAAATTGTTAGAGAAAAGAAAGGGTAGGTGTTTTGAAAACTAGGTCTTTACTATTTCTGAAGATTTTCTTAGACACGACTTACTGAACAAATGATTCTTTAAGTCGTTTTTTAAATAGTTTCTTCAGTTTCTTTAAATTTATTCTCCTTGAGGAAAGATTTTGATCTTGCAAATCCTTATACTGAGACTTGTCAGTACATTGCATTGCTTTTAGTCTTCCCGAAAAGCAGTAGTGATTTTTAGGCCCTGAAAGTATTTGAAAATGCTCGTGCTTTAGGGGACTTCTGTGATAGTGATCTCATTTCTCCCTGACAGCCACCTTTTGTGGTGACCTTGGATGAAGTGGAGCTGATTCACTTCGAGCGGGTTCAGTTTCACCTGAAGAACTTTGATATGGTGATAGTCTACAAGGACTACAGCAAGAAAGTGACGATGATCAACGCCATTCCGGTAGCCTCCCTAGACCCCATCAAGGAGTGGCTGAAGTAAGTCAGTCTGCCAGCACTCTCCCATTTACCCCTTGATCCCTCGATTACAGAATACAAGCATGGTATGTTGTATATAAAATCTGCTGGTGGACTTAAGGGAGAAACTGCCGTTGGGGAGTTATAGCCCAGGACTTAGAAATTTGGCATCTGTTAGATAGAGTTATTAACTTCTTCCTGAAATTCCAACAGTAGTTGATGAATATTTACACATACAAAATTAAAAAAAAGTCATCTTTGACTCTTCTTGATAGGTGTATAAAAATCTGAATACATGTATAATCAGTTAGTTATAAAAAGGGGATATCTCTTACTAGTTCTTTTACTGAAAGATAATTTTTTCAGTTTATTTTTTAAGTTTATTTATTTATTTATTTATTTGAGAGAGACAGAGACAGTGCGAATAGGGGAAGGGTAGAGAGAGAGAATCCCCAGCAAGCTCCGCACTGCCAGCATAGAGCCTGACGCAGGGCTCGAACTCATGAAACAGACCTGAGCCGAAACCAAGAGTCGGATGCTTAACCAGCTGAGCCACTCAGATGCCCCTTAAGATAAAACTTCTTGAATTTTAGCCTTTTACGTCAGCTATAAAAGAATTTCTCACAGGAGTACCAAAACTCCAGTAAACAGGGAGATGTTATACTCTAGGTAAAGGGTGAAGCTTGGGTGGTGGTGAGTATAATTTGCTCTGCGCTCTACACACCCCTGCCTATTACCAGTGAAGGAGAAGTGCTGAGATGTGACTCTCCTCTTAAGAGGTGGGTTGAGAGAACTTAGAAATAAATTGTGAGAAAGATACAAATTTATGGTTTTCCTGAGGATTTTCTTAAGACATAGGCAGGTAGGTGATAACAATATCCCAAATATGTGTTGTAAAGGTGACTTTTTTTTATTCTTTTCAAATTTTTATTTAATTTCTAGTTAATTAACATACAGTGCAGTATTGGTGTCAGAATTCAGTGATTCATCACTTACATTCAACACCCAGTGCTCATCCCATCAAGTGCCCTCCTTAGAGCCCGTCACCCATCTAGCCCATCCCTTACTCACCTCCATCCATCAACCCTCTGTTTCTTCTCTAAGAGTCTTTTATGGATTGTTTCCCTCCTCCATTCGTTCATCTGTTTTGTTTCTTAAACTCTACATGAGTGAAATTACATGGTATTTGTCTTTCTCTGACTTACTTTGCTTAACATAGTACACTCTAGCTCTATCCATGTCGTTGCAAAATGGCAAGATTTCATCCTTTTTGATGGCTGAGTGATATTCCATTGTGTGTGTGTGTGTGTGTGTGTGTGTGTACACATATGCATCTTGATTCATTCATCAGTCAGTGGACATTTGGGCTCTCTCCATAGTTTGGCTGTTGTTGATAATGCTGTTGTAAACGTCTGGGTGCACGTACGCATTTGAATCTTATTCTTGTAGCCTTTGAGTAAATACCTAATAGTGTAATTGTTGGATTGTAGGGTACTTCTATTTTTAACTTTCTGAGGAACCTCCATTGTGTTCTCCAGACTGGCTGCACCAGTTTGCATTCCCACCAACGGTGTAAGAGGGTTCTCCTTTCTCTGCATCCTCACCAACATCTGTTTCCTGTGTTGTTAAGTTTCGCCATTCAGACAGATGTGAGGTGGTATCTCATCATGATTTTGATTTGTATTTCCTTGATGAGTGATGTTGAGCATCTTTTCATGTGTCTTTTGGCCATCTGGATGTCATCTTTGGAAAAGTGTCTATGTCTTCTGCCCATTTCTTAATGTATTTTTTTAAAAATCAGTTTTATTAAGGCAAAACTTACGTGTAATAAAATTCACCAATTTAAGTATATGGTCTGATGAGTTCTAATAAATGTGTACAGTCGCGAATCTACCATCATAATCAGGATGTAGAACACTTCTTCACTCCTAAAAGTTCTTCATACACTTTTATGTAAGTCGGTCCCCTCCCTGTAATCCTATCCCTGGTTTCTATCACTATGTGGTTTGTGTCTTCTAGAATTTCATGTAAATGGAATCAGAAGTATCTTGGTACCTTGCATCTTTCACTTAGCATAATGCTTTTGAAATTTATCCAAGTTGTTGAGTGCATCAGTAGTGTATTCTTTTCTGTTACTGAGGAGTGTTCCAATGCATGGATATTCCATACTTCATTTACCTTAATAGAAATGTTAATTGTTTCCACTTGGGGGTTCTTGGGAATAGCTGCTATAAACCTTACATACAGGTCTTTGTGTAAACGTTAAGTTTTCATTTCTTCAGTAGATGACCTAAGTGTGGCACTGCTGGGTCGCATGGTTTGTGGTAAAGTCTCTACGTTTAACCTTGTAAGAAACTATCAAATCATTTTCTGGAAAACCTGCAGTACCTGAGAATTGTAATTGCTGTGCATTTTAACACTTGGCTTTGTCGGTCTTTTTTTTTACTTTTTTCAGAGTGCATACATGAGGAAGGGGCAGAGGGCTTAAGAGAGAGAGAATCGTAAGCAGGCTCTACACCCAGCTCAGTGCCCGATGCGGGGTTTGATCTCACAATTGTGGGATCTTGACCTGAGCCGAAATCAAGAGTTGTTTTCTCAACTGACTGAACCATCCAGGCTCCCCTTGTCTCTTTTTTTTTTTTTTTTTTTTTTTTTTTTTTTTTTTTCTTTTTTTTTTTTTTTCAACGTTTTTTTATTTATTTTTGGGACAGAGAGAGACAGAGCATGAACGGGGGAGGGGCAGAGAGAGAGGGAGACACAGAATCGGAAACAGGCTCCAGGCTCTGAGCCATCAGCCCAGAGCCCGACGCGGGGCTCGAACTCACGGACCGTGAGATCGTGACCTAGCTGAAGTCGGACGCTTAACCGACTGCGCCACCCAGGCGCCCCTCCCCTTGTCTCTTTTTAATGTTGGCCATTATAGTAGCTGTGGAGTGCTGTCTTCATTGTGACTTCAGTTTGCATTTCCATGATGACTGATGATGTTGAGCTTATGTGTCATTCTGTATCTTACAGGAAGTCTCTTCATATTTTTGTCCATGTTAAAAAGCAGATTGTTTGTCTGAGTTGTCAGAATTCTTTAGACTGGTTATAAATCCTTCATCAAATATAGGTTTTGCATATGTTTTCTTGCAGTAGATTCTATGCCTTTTCAAGTGTCTTAAAGACTAGAAGTGTAAAATTCTCATGAAGTCTGATCTATTTTTTTCTTTTGTAATTTGCACTTTTTAGATCTTGTTTAATAAATTGACTAACCCGAAATCATAAAAATTTTCTGATTTCTTCTAGAGTTTTATAGATTTAGTTCTTACATTTAGGTCTGTGATCCATTTTGAGTTAATTTTTTACTGTAGCATAAGGGTCAAGATTCGTATTTTGCCCAAATATAGCCAATTACTCTAGTATCATTTGTGAAGAGATTACCCCATAGTTACTGAATTATCCTGGCATCTTGTTTAAAAAAAAAAAAAAGCCATCAACCATTTGGAGAGGGTGTAGTTTTGGATGCTATTCTGTTGCATTGGCCTATGTGTGTCCTTATATCGCTGAAACAATTATTGTAGCATTATAGAAAGTAAGTCTTAAAATCATGTAGTGTAAGTCTTCTGATTTTGTTCCTTTTCAGAATTGGCTATTCTACATAAAGGTTAGAATCTTCTTGTGTCTGTCAGCAAACTGGTCTTTTTAATCTAAGTTATCAACTTCCATATTTATACAATTTATAATGGTGTCCCCTTTTATTCCTGATAGTGATAATTTGTTTCCTCTTTTTGTTGGTCAGTCTGCCTAGTGGTTTAATTCTATTGATTTTTTTTTTCATCATTATGAAATGTCCTTCCTTATACCTGATAATAGTCCTTGTTTCAAAAATCAGCTTGGTACGATATTCTTACGGACTTTGAGCTTTATTTTGGTTAGTGCTTACATAACATGTCTTTTTTTCTGTTCTTAACTTACTTTATGTTTAAAGGGCCTTACCTGAAGCCAATATAGATTTGGGTCTCACTTTTTTAAATCTGTTTTGAGAATTTTTACTTTGGATTGGTGAAAACAGACCGTTTGCATTTAATGCTAACTATCAATATGGTTGGGTTTAAATCTACCATCTTGCTATTTGTTTTCCTCTATGTTCTCTGTTGCTTTTCTCCTTTTTATGCCTTATTTTGGACTTATTTTAATTTTTGAGAGAGAGAGCTCAAGGTGGGGGGAAGGGGCAGAGAAACAGGGAGACACAGAATCCGAAACAGGCTCCAGGCCCTGAGCTGTCAGCACAGAGCCCGACGCGGGGCTCGAACTCAGGAACCGTGAAATCATGACCTGAGCCAAAGTCAGATGCTAAACCGACTGAGCCGCCCAGGCACCCTTGGATTAATTGTATGATTGTGTATTAAGTTTATGATGGGTTGGTTGGTTTGTTTGGTAATCTCTACACCCAGTATGGGGCTCCACCTCAGGACCCTGAGATCATCAAGAGTCACATGCCCTTCCAACTCAGCCAGGTGCCCCCAGGCAGTTACCTCTTAATTTACAAAATGAGAACAAAAGTCTTGGATATTTGCTCACATATGTTCATTCCTGGTGCTCTTCATTCCATGGTGTGGTTCTAACCTTCTAACTCTTTTAATTTTCCTTTGCCTCATAAACCTCCTCCTTTAGCATTTGAGATGCAGGCTTTCTGGTGACAAATTCTCCCAGCTTTTTTCTTAAGTCTTTATTTCCCTTTCACTTCAGAAAGATGTTTTTCCTGACTGTAGATAGAATTGTCTTTTTTTAATACTTACATGATGTTGCTCCATTGTTTTCTGGCTTACTGGGTGTCTGCTGTCATCTTTGTGCCTCTGAACAGACTGACGTTTTTGTTTTGTATTTCTGTCATCGGTTTCTAGCATTTTATTATCTGCTTTATTGTGGGTGGTTTTGTTTTTTTAATGATTATTCTGTTTGGTGTGCGTTGGGCTTCTTAGATCATCACATCCCCAAATGTTCTGGCCGTTATTCTTCAAATATTTTTGCTCTTTCCTCAATCCCCATCCCCCCCACCCACCCCCGTTTTTGTTTTTGTTTTGTTTTTTTTTTCTGAGACTAATTACACAAATTTCATATCTTCACTTTTCAGCATCTTCAAGTTTGTCTTCCTTCTTAAACATTTGGAGCATGTTTATAATAGCTTTTTTTTTAATGTCATTATCTGATACTTCCATCTACCGTCTTTGTATTTTCTGGGTCTATTTCTATTGTTTGATTTTTTTCTTCAGCCCTTTTGCATGTCTGGTAATTTGTGATCGGCTGCCAAACATTGTGACTACACATTTTGGGGTGCTAGGTTTTATTTTTACTTTCAAATGTATTTATTTATTTATTTATTTTGAGAGAGCGTGCACGAGCAGGGGAGGGGCAGAAGAGAGTCCCAAGCAGGTTTTGTGCTGTCAGTGCAGAGTCTGGTGCAGGGCTCAAACCCACAAACCATGAGATCGTGACCTGAGCCAAAACCAAGAGTCAGACACTCAGCCGACTGAGCCATCCAGGTACCCCAATTTTTTTTTTTTTTTTTTTTTAATTACTCATTTTGAGAGAGAGTGAGTGAATCCCAAACAGGCTCCACACACAGTGCAGAGCCCAGCATGAGGCTCCACCTCACGACCAGGAGATCATGACATGAGCAAAATCAAGAGTCAGACACTTAACCAACAGAGCCACCCAGGCACGCTGGGTGCTAGGCTTTATGATTTTTTTCTAGACTTCATTCGACGATATAGTTAAGTGAGTTGGATACCACTTCATCTTTCAGGACTTGTTCTCAAATGTCATTAGTGCTGGTTCAGAACAGCTTTTAGTCTAGGACTAATCTGCCCACCGCTGAGGCAGTACTCTTCTAAGCACTCTGATTCCCTGTGTGTTTTAAGGTCTTTCTGTTAAAGCTGATAGGACCAGGAACTATTTCCAGTTTGGTATGAGATCTGGGAATTGTGTGGCCAACTGCTTTCCAGTGCTTCTTTGCTGAGCTCCGGTTAATTTCCTCTCATGTATGTGCAGATCAGTTCTTGGCCACAGACTGAAAGGGATCCCTCTGCAAATCTCCAGAGCTTTTTCTGTCATTCTCTTCTCCAGTACTCTCAGCTTCAAAAATTCTAGCTGTATCAGCATCCCCAAATACTTCTCTTTCTCTTAGGTTCTGATTGGGTTCCCCTCCCGACATAGCAGCCTGGGAACTGCCTCCAGGCAGAAAACTAGGGCAGTTATAAAACAAAACCCTGTGTGTTTCCTCCTTTTGGGGACTATAGTCCTATGCTGCTTTTTTTTTTTTTTTTTTTTTTTTTTTTTTTTGAAAGGTTTATTTATTTTTAAGAGACAGAAACAGATCACAAATGGGGGAGGTACAGAGAGAGGAGGAGACACAGAATCTCAAGCAGGCCCCAGGCTCTGAGCCGTCAGCACAGAGCCCAATTCGAGGCTTGAACTCACAAAGCGCAAGATCATGATCTGAGCCAAAGTCGGATGCTTAACCAACTGAGTCACCCACGTGCCCCAGTCCTATGTTTCTTTTTATCCAGTGTTTGAAAGCTGTTTTATATTTTGTTTGGTTTTCTAGTAATTTAAATTGGAAAGGTAAATCTAGTTCTTGTTACTCCGTCCATCATGGCCAGATGTGCAAGTTACAGTGTATATGATGAGGCCTATAATGGATTTGTGGCAGTGGTTCTCAGGTTTTGTGAGGCTTTCTTCTAGTGATGCTCACTATTGTCATTTCTTTTTGGGGTTTTTTGGTTTTGGTTTTTTGTTTTTTTCATTTCTCTCTTCCTTCCCACCCACTTGAATTGATTGAGCTTTCCTCAACAGAAGTGGACAAAAAGAAAGTCATTTGAGGGGTGCCTCGGTGGCTCAGTCAGTTAAGCATCTAACTTTGGCTCAGGTCACGATCTCACCCTTCATTAGTTCAGTGTCTGTGTTGGGTTCTGCACTGACAGCTCAGAGCCTGGAGCCTGCTTCAGATTCTGTGTCTCTCTCACTGCCCGTCCCCTGCTCTTTCTCAAACATTTAAAAAAAGAAAGAAAGTTACTTGCACATTTTCTTAGCACTTTAGGTACTAAACAAGAAACTTACTCCTACCTTCGAATATACCTGGCATCAAATGAACAATACATAAGAAAGCAGTGGAAGATTGAGGAGGGAAAGCTAGGGCCAGCTGCCTTTTCTTAACTGCAATCATATGTGCGATCAGAGCTGAAAAGTAAGAAGCGCAGAAGTGGTTATAAGTTGAGACTACTTGCAAATAAGGGTGGAATCAGGGGAAAGCATAGGTGAGGAGGAAAGGCCAAAAGGAGGAACAGGGAAATTGGTGCTTAAGAAAGAAAATGGAAAACTGGAGAGGCTGACCTTTGTGGAGGGACAAAGCTTGCTTCGGTCGGAATGCTGCTCTGTCGTGAGGGCTGGTCTCTGGGAGACATATCAGCCATTTGGGTCTATTCTGGTGGCCCAATACAGAGAATGTCTGCTCTTCAGAGATACTAATGAGCAAGAGGACACAGTGCATTCTCGGAAAATACGGAGGATTGACTTTGACTCATGTCCTGTCTCTTAGTTCCTGTGACCTAAAGTACACAGAAGGAGTACAGTCCCTCAACTGGACTAAAATCATGAAGACCATTGTTGATGACCCTGAGGGCTTCTTCGAACAAGGTGGCTGGTCTTTCCTAGAACCTGAGGGTGAGGTGCGTGAGTGTGGGGTTTCTTTTCCGGTACATAGTGTTGCCCATTACCATCAGGCTGCTAGGAAATGCTACAGAAGTAGTACGTACGGGACCAGATCAACTGGGAGCTTAGTATTACTGTGCTGTTCTCCTAGTTAGTTTTACAGGTAGCTGATAAATTAATTGGAGACTGGTAGCCACTGAGATTTCTTTGAAATTGCAAAATTGTTCTTTTAAGGAGACTCAGTATTGGGAAAAAATTCTTTAGGGCATTTTGAGTTCTTGGTTTTTTTGACTGAAGTATAATTAACATACAGTGTAATAATAGTTTCAGGTGTAAGTTTAGGGCATTTTGCAAAAGTTGTTTTCTAAAAAATGATTCTCCCACCTCTGCATAATGCATTATTTCCGTGAGTATCTCTGGTTAATTTTCCTGGGTGAGGAAGGATGAAGTGAATTTTTAAGAAATACAAACTAGATATTTAGTAATCGCACCTTACTGGTAATTATAAATTAGTCCTATTTATCCTTTGGTCACTCAGGTTTTTTGGTTTTTTTTTAATGTAATATGGAAATAATGCTGGGGTGCTAGGTGGGTTGAATTAATTAGGTTAATAAAGTGAAGGTCAAAAAAAGAACTGAGTAAATAGTATTATGCTCTCCAACTGTAACTCACCAGGGGAGTGATGCTGAGGAAGGGGATTCAGAGTCTGAAATCGAAGATGAGACTTTCAATCCTTCAGAAGACGACTATGAAGAGGAGGAGGAGGATAGTGATGAAGATTATTCATCAGAAGCTGAAGAATCAGGTTAGTCTCTATAGGGAAAATGTTTCGTGGCTTTCTAATCTATCATTTCTGGACCCCATAAAGGAGGGAAGAATTCTGTCGTTCCATTCCTGTCTAATGACTAATTAATGACTTAATTTTATTCCAGACTATTCCAAGGAATCATTGGGCAGTGAAGAAGAGAGTGGAAAGGATTGGGATGAACTGGAGGAAGAAGCCCGAAAAGGTAAACTTTGTTATTTTTGAAGCACAAATTTCTAATGGATTTTAGTATTTTGAGATTTTTTTGGCCTAAGAAGAGTACCAAAAGAACACTGTGAAACTGATGGGGAACTATAGCTCCAAGTTCATCAGCCAGACAAGCAAATGAGTTCTGGAATGTGTCCATACCCTCCAAGTGACATGACTCTGTCATTCTTCATCTGCTCACAGCCACAGTGGGTCTGTAGCTATGATAGCCACATAGTCTTGGAAGAATTAGGCTATTCAGTTTCCAAGTCTAAGTCCTATAATAGTCAAACTTTCTGGGCCTCTTCCAGGTTAGGAAGGTTTTTGTAATAGTGGTTTAGTTACTCTGAAACCAAATGCTAGATAGCAGTTAAAGGTGAAAGGGGAACACTATCTACTGGACCCCAAGCATCGGGATCCGTACTTTGCATAGGCTACCTTATTTAATCCTAGAACCATTTTCTGTTGTGTAAATAACATAAACCAAGGCTCAGGAAAGTTAAGTACTTGCCTGAGATCACACAACTAATACGTGACTGAGATTAAAACATACTTGACTCCAGAGGACATTCCCTGTGTTACTTCATGCTATTATGTACTGTTAGGTACCAAAGTTACCCTGTAGCGAACTAGTAATGCCTCTTTTCTCCTGTTCAGCGGACCGTGAAAGTCGTTACGAGGAAGAAGAAGAACAGAGTCGAAGTATGAGCCGGAAGAGGAAGGCATCTGTGCACAGCTCAGGCCGTGGCTCTAACCGTGGTTCCAGACACAGCTCTGCACCCCCCAAGAAAAAGAGGAAGTAACTTCTGAACTCTGGTCCTCAGCTCCATTCTTTATCCAGCCAACCCCTACAAATTTTACATGACATAGAAACTGTATTTTTCCTTTTTTTTTTTCCTTTTGAAGTTTTGCCATTTGTGTTTATGGGTTTAGGGGGCCATTTGTGTGGACCAATCTACTCGGGGAATTCCAGGCCCACCAGGACACGTGCCAGTGGCCCCATCCAGATGGCAAGGGAGGTGTTCTTGAAGAAGGGCAGAGGCTTCCGCTGTTGATAAATACCGTTTCATTCCTCTCTCTTCCTGTCACCTTCCGCCAGGACATCGATGGCTTCTGACATCTTACTCTTTGATGTCTCAAAGCTATGTTTCCAAGACATTGGTACGAGGTGACCCCTAACTACCTGTACCATGGTTCTTGACCAGCAGATTCAGTCCTCCATCCTGCCCCACTGCCATGACCTTCCTCACATCTCTTTTAAGTTCCATCTTTGCAGTGCTCAAGAAAAGGTTCTTGGAATTTGCTGATAGTTGTGATAAACCATACAACTTGAGCTAGTGAGGGCAGATCGGGCCGGTACCTCCGCCTGAGTTTTCCTGCCTGTTTGCCTCGTGCCGATAGAGGTGTTTCTGCCGCCTTTGAAGACAAGAAGCAGGGACACCCCCTGGCTCGGTTTCATCCTCCTTACAAATTCACACAGGGTACAATAGTAGAAGCAGAGTCACCACTGGTCCTTTTCTGATGTGTCTGAGGAAGAATGGTCGTGCCTCACAACACTGCTCCTAGTGAAATCTAGGAGGAGGCTCAGAGGAATCAACATTTAGATCTGGAAGGGGCAGGTCATGCCTTGGGCCTAGAATACCCTGATGAGAAAAGAGAAGAGGAAGGGAGGCCACGTCTACAACACAGCCTCTCGTCACTGCTGCTCCTTATTTTTACTTGTCTTGCATTGTCCTGTATTTATCACAGTTTCTGTCGAACAGCTTTTTAAGTATTTGGGGAGTTTATCTTGCCACCCTCCCCCTCCCGGTTCTCTGTACCACCTGTCCCGCTGCAGTTCCTCCTGTGTTCTGTGACCTTAAGAGAAGAGGGGGGGAGGGGTCTCGGATTTTGTTTGTTTGTTTTTTTTCTCCTTAGCAGTAGGACTTGATATTTTCAATTTTGGAAGAACTAAAAGATAAATAAACTGTGGTTTTTTTTGTTGTTGTTTTGTTTTTGTAAAGTCACCTTTTGTGACCGTCCTTTCGCAGTTCCTGAGGGCAGGTCCTCTTCTCACCCGTGAGAGCGCTAAGACCTTGGAGAATAATGCCTTTATCCAGTGAGGGTCACAAAAAGTAACTTGGTTCTAAGCTTTCGTCATTAGGTAGAAAGACCAGACATCACAGTAAACCAAATTCACGGCATAGCAGATTACTTTATAAGAGACTTTTTACTGCGGTTCCCTCAGTTTAGAACGGAATAGTACTTGCTCCATCACGAAAGTGTAACTTCTGTCATCTCCTTGTAAATGGCGTCGAGGGCGGCGGCAGCTTTAAGGGACACCGTCAGCCTTCCTATCCGGGTGGCCTGATCTTCAGGGCTGACAACTGTTGGGAAAAGAAAAGGAAGCCTGTCAGGCAGCAGCATCGTTCAGTCAAAAAGCACTTACATACCTGCAGTGTGCCGTGGCAGGTGGCGGCGGCACTAAAGTTCCTCCTTGGGGCTCGACCTAGTGGAAGGGAAGGAGGGTGAGGCCCTCCCAGCACAGTACAGGGTGGGGGTGAGAGGGGCTGCGATGAAAACTCAAGGTGCTTTGGGGACGCACGGAAGTGGCACCCACCCTGGCCGGCGTGGAGGAAGTAGAAGAGGTGGTCTGGAGACGATCCCTGAACTGAATCTAGAAAGTAAGCTCTTCCGAGCGCGGGCCAAGACACGAGAACACAAGGAGTTCGGAAAGGTGCGAGAAGTGGCAGGAGCAAAGCCGCATAGATAAGCAGGGTCCCAACC